GTATGTTCTAAAATCCCTTCTACTCCTCCTAATGCTTAAATCATATCAGTCCTATAATTATTTAAGTTCCATAATTTCCCATCATGTCTTTAATGAGTCCACCAAAATGGATTCTACTTCAACATCTAAAATTGCTTAAAATCTTGTCTAACTCTCCATCCTTTATCATATGCCAATGTCAATCTATCCTTTTAAAATAATGTATTAATTCTAGGAATACCATGATCCCAACTGTCTTCCAAATCATCCAAAGTCAACCTCCTATTCTATACTTAAGCTTCTTATCGCTTTAATGCATACTCAGCCCAAACTCTTTAACTATCAATAAATTCACTCTCCCAGGTTTAAATATATCTATATAAGTTTGGAATTAATTAATCTTCATCATGACTCATACCTGCTCTATAATGTGTTATTCCAGTATCAGTTTATTTAGAAAATCTCAAATCTGATTAAGGTATCAAAATGTGTCCCATAGATAACATACCTAAACCACCTAATTCTTTAGGAGTGTAAAATACAACTGGAGGGAAACGCGATGGCATCTTAGAATTCAAACCGATTTTAATTCTGGTTTATATCTTATTTTCACATTTGACTAGGAGATCTAACAATTATTCTGTATGAACTGCTGACTCTCTATAATAAGTCATCAATCCAATTAAAGTAGTATTCCATTTATTTGCAATTTTTGTAAATGTAGTACTACCACTTGCCATTAATATTTGTCTGATTCTATTTTCGTATTTTTTCATACTTTCTTCATCTACTCTCAAAAATGCAACAGCAGTTATTTCCTTACTTGATTCATTTTATAATTTCCAAACTCCATCTTTTTCAGAGAATTCTTCTTAAGTTCCTCTAATTTTTGGTAATATCCTGACTTCGAATCCACACATATTAAATAGGAAATTTGGGTTATCTTTTGAATAAACAGAAACAAAAGAGTGTTCCCAAGCTAGTGTAGTCAGACATCTTGGTAATCTATTTTTAATATCCCAAAAAACAGCTCTTCCTAAATTTACATCATGTTTCATAAGTCTCATTCTACAATCTTTTGGCCAACATTTTTTATTATTATACCCAACAATATTCTCATTATTAGGATCAGGATTTTCTGTTAAATACCTTTAGATTAATTCTCTTGCTTCTTCAGCAGTAAATCGAAATACCATGAATATTTTATCGATATATCTACAATATAATCTGATAGGATGTCTAATTTCTTGTTGAATATTAGAGTAAGTCATGAATTCATGAGGATTGTTATATGGTCCAGCTAAATCTTATGCTCTATTTAGACCCAAAATTAACAAATCCAAAACCATGCCATAAAATTACATGATAAAACTGGTGAATTGGATTCCATGCAAGACTCCATGAACATTAGTATGATTCATATCTTTGTAAGTGATAACAACATTATTTTTGGCAGTCATATAATCTGCAATATTATGATCAACAATTAATCTAAGTAATCTATTTAGCAGAGTTTAATCAATTTTCTCATAAACCTTTTCAAATTTACTTTCTAATAAAACAACACACTAACCATCAGAGACATCCCAAATTCCATGCAGATTATTAATTCCTTGACACCACTTATAGACTAATAAAGGAGGAGGTTCACTATCACTTGGTTTAATCCAATTAGGAAAGAGTCTTCTTTTATCTGCTTCATAAAATAGATATTAATCTAAATAAGCATCTGTAATTTTTTCTAAAGGTTCTACATCATATACTGGTACTAAATGAGAATAGAGATCCATAAATTCTAATCTGACTTCTTTAAAGACTCTTTAAGTCAAAAGATGTCTTTTTACTCTACTCAAAGCTTCATGTGGATTATCATAGGCTTATTCAATTAATGCTAATTCTTCTCTTTGACTTTGATTCAATCTACTTTTAACAGAATATGCTTCCTTCAATCTCTCCAATGCCAATAGGAACAATTTAGTGTCATGTTTGTAATTTACAGGAGGATATGGAATATGAATGAATTTTCTACTCTCTAACCATCTCACTAAAGCTGTATAGATGGCCACTGCATCTTCAGTTGTCAAGTAAGGACCATCTTTCATAAAATTATGCTATCGTTCTTATTCTTATTTCAAGAATAAACGTGTTAATCTTCCAAGATTCTTCTTACATACAGTCTTATCAACAGTTGCTCCTCTTCTTATACGTTCTCTATTGTAATAGGCTGAATTCGTATAATAATCTGCCTTATATTTGACATATCTCAATATAATATTTTCGATGGGAGCAGGTAAACCTGGAACTTTCCATGGAATATTCGCCTTCCAACATCTCCAAGCTTCACTTAAGTGTTATAATATAGTTTTTGCTTTGTTAGCTCTCACTCCTTCTGGCATCATATCAATAATATCAGACATTACAGCTGCTCTCAATTCTAAATCAAATTGAGATTCTACTCTCTACTTTGTTACAGTCTTTGATATTCCTTTAGAATGTCTACCCTCAAATGTACGAGCTAATAGATTTCCTAACCATCTCTCTAATAATGGAATTATTCCTCTTAAGAAGAATAACCATACTCTCCACATTGGTGTCCAAAATCCAACTCCAGGTCCCTTACCTACTGGCCCTGTATTAAATCTATAATATATCACATGTTTTAAATCCTTGCACATTCTTATCTATCTCATTAATCTATATTTGTAACGATACATACCTGTTACCAAACCTACATGTGAAAATACATATTGTAATCCATCAGCCAATTAAAAGGCATCTATGTTACCTAATCTATATTACACATGACTATCACATGCTAACTTCATCAATCTTAATATCTCTCGACACAAATGAAATGCATTACCAAATCTTGACTTTTTTCTCTCTTTTGTTGTTAAAGTCTTTACTGGTTTCAATTAAAAATTGTAATCTAAATGCAAATAATTTAAATTTTTTCTGTGAATCAATAAATTTAACATATTGTATCCTTGACGAGCTATCTGCAAACCACATTCAACCCAATCTATCTCTGTCAATTAAAAAAACTTTGTTGCTTAAAATGCTTTTAATAAATTTCTTTTGTTTTAACACTTTGGTTTTCTCTTATGTAAACTGTTCAAAACCCAACATTTTAAAAGTTTCTAATAAGAAACTCTCACCTTAACAGGATATTATGGATTGCATCTCTCCTTAAACCAGGGAGCTACTAATGGAATATCAAATGCTCTTCTCGTTTTTCCTGTCCTTTAATTAAATGGAGCTGGTGCCCATAACAATGCAATAGAAGAAGTTGTTTATTCATCAGACAACTCAGTCTCACATAACAATGGCACAAATCCCTCTCCTATTTCGATATCTAATTCACTATCTTCTATCTGAACATCTATCTTTCTACTCTATGTTCTATAGGCTGATATAGGATTAATCACAGGGTCAAAATTGTATGTTGGAATCTCAGGATTATCTTATTTTATAAACACATTTGCTGGATAATGATAAGGAGCTATAGCTACACTTCTTGGCCTTGAATTATATAAAAATGGAAATGCAATTTTATACTCACTTCTTATTTATTACCTGATAATTATCTTATTAATATCATTAAATTCATTCCAATCTTCATCTTCCTCAAAAATATCCCTATAAAGAGGCTCAAATTTAGGTCCTCCAGGTATTGCCATATTCAATGCTTTTGCTGTGTAAAGAGATTGAAGCTAAAATAAATAAAAATAGTTTTGATCAACTATATCTGACAATAATTAATTAGCCAACCTGAATAAATTTTGTTACACTTCTAATGTTAATTACCAAGAACGATAACTTGGCCCATTCAATAACTTTGTATATCTTAATGGTTAATGATCGTAAAACCAATCAAAAACAGCATTGTCTTCTCTTTCATCCAATTCCATCTGAATTGGTTCTAATGGCTCCACATCTAAGATATTATCTCCATAATCTAATGGAATTTCTTCATCATCAAATGGCGGAAATCGCATTCTTTTAAAATTTCTTCTATCTCTCTTTTCTCTTCTCATCATCACCCACATTGTACCCCATTATGCTGTGTAAACAGGTTCAATCACTTTAGGAATTTCATAACAAAATGTTATGCATCCTGTAATGTGATAAAGAACCTTCACTGTTCTTACCTATTCCCATGGCATTGGCATATTCTCCAATAATTTATAAATTGCATGTGGCATATACTTTAATGCCCCCAAATATACTCTTTTATCTTGTCTGTATTTCTTTGATTCCAAATTCCCGTGATCTTTAAATATTTTCCTAAATTCATAAATAAAATCTTCTACCTTAAAATTTCTGGAGGTTGAGGCTCTTTTTATCCTTCAACAAACCCAAACTTTCTTTTCTCGGCGTACTTTTTTTTTTGAACTTACTACCACTTTTTGAGCTTGTCTTCAAGAGTATCACTCTATCGAATGAGATTCATATCTATTTATTTAAAAATTAATAATAAATCACCACATTTGTTTAATTAATTCCTAGAAATAATGAGACAAATAGAAAAGATAAAATTTACAAAAATCAATTCAATATTCCCTAATACAAACCAAGGAATTAAGTCATTTGATTTTGAGCATTCATTATTTTATTTAAAATATATAAACATTTTCTGACCTATTATTTATTATTCTGTTGAATCAAAGAAAATAATTTATAATTTCTTAAGAAACTCATTTAACGATATTAATAAACTCATCCTATTTTTCTAAGGAAAGTCATCTTCATATACAAATTGATAATACTTACAATTTGATGGTTACTCATTTCTTTTTACTTTTAAAAGAGTTTAAACATTATTAATCAATTGCATACTAAATTCTAATACCATTTTTTTTCTGAATACCAGTAAGAGTGAAGAAATATATTTGATAAGTAATGATAATTTGTAATTATTAAATAAATGGTCTTTATTCTCAGTGGTTTTCAAATGTTTTTTTATAATATAAGAGATATTGAAACCTTTGTTAAATTTAAAGAAAAATAATAGTTTTCTAATGAGTTTTTATATATATCGTGCTCCTGAAGCCTAGAAAGTTTAATCGTTTCCCATTACATTATTTGATGGGACTGGATCTATGCATAAAGAGTATCCTCGCGCTGTAAATGCATACAAGATAGTATTCAATGATTTGGGTAAGAAAAAATTAGAATACTAATGGGCAAAGGATCTTTATCCTTTAGAGCCCTTCAAATAAGCAGGAAGTGGAAATATTACAAATACGCTGACAAACATGTTTCAAATGCTTCTAAATGAGAAAGCTAGAATTCCAAAAAATATTACATTAGTTTTCATTAGTGACGGAAAGGAAGAATTTGATTTGGAGAAATTGCTGGTGTTCATAGAGAGAATGAGACAGAAATACTTAATTTAATTTATAAGTGTAGCGGTGGGAGATTAATTTCCAAATTCAATTAGTAACACGCTTAGAAGCAAGATACACAATCATGATCCAACTTGTCCACCTTTATTTTAAATAACAAGATCAAATACAAAGAGCTTCTAGTAGATTTAATCAGAATTCGAACATATATTTTGGGAAATTCGAAAACGACTACTAGTAAGTGGAGAAATGATTTTGATAAATCTTCCTGTCTTTTACACAATCACTTCAAAATAACCTCAAAATAGTGTTGTAGCAAACAGTCTCTTCCTAGTTGAGAAAGGTAAAACAGTTACTGTTGGAAATCATAAAATTGAGCCAACACATGATGCTTCTGATATTTTTCAAATGATTGTTAACTCTGTTCAATAAGCTTTTATTAGTTAGGCTTAGGTAAAGTTTTAAGATGCAGAGCATGAATTTGGTTAAATTTAACTGGTAAGTCAAGAATTTTTAAAATAAATAGATAAATCTTAAATACATAATTTATCAGAAGAATAAAAAGCAGAAGAAATCAAAGTACACGCAACACTTAATGTTGCAAAATAAATAGCATAAGGATAATTAGATCTTTAAAATACTAAAGAATCTGATTTAACATCATTATAAGATTATTTAGTTAATAATGTACATAAATTTGCTGAGTTAGCTACGAAATTAAAAACTACTACTGGAAAAATTGTAAAAGGTATCAAAAGTGTCAAGGGATTTGCAAGTGTAGTTGCAAATGCTTAACATTTAAATGAACTAAAAACAATTCAAGGTAAAGAGTAAGAAAATAATAAAATTAAAAATGAAGATAGCCAAAAATAGAGTTAAGAAGATTAAGAATCTGATTAAGATAAAATGAGTTCATCTTAGCAAATATAATCTGATTAATAGATAAGTTCTAATTAAGATGTATTAAAATAAACTAAAGAATCAACAAATGAAGTTGAAACATCGATTGTACATTTAGAATAAAGTCAAGAAATAGATAATACAAAATAAAATGATGAAATAAAGGACTAAAATGAAATGATATAAGATGATTCTAAAAGTGGTTGGTTTGGACGTAAAAACCTAAATATAAAAGATGATTAAACACCAGAACAACTAGAAAATAATGATGAGAATAAAAGTGATGATTTAACACAGGAATAATAAGAAAATAAAAATGAATAGAAAGTTGATGATTAAATACTGGAATAATTAGAAAATAATAATGAATAAGGAGTTGATGATTAAACATTAGATTAATTAGAAAATAATAATGAATAAGGAATTGAAGATAAAATATAGGATTAATCCGAAAATCAAGTTGATGATTAAACATAGGATTAATTAGGAAATAAAAATGAATAGAAAGTTGATGATTAAACATTAGATTAATTAGAAAATAATAATGAATAAGGAGTTGAAGATAAAATATAGGATTAATCCGAAAATCAAGTTGATGATTAAACATAGGATTAATTAGGAAATAAAAATGAATAGAAAGTTGATGATTAAACATTAGATTAATTAGAAAATAATAATGAATAAGGAGTTGAAGATAAAATATAGGATTAATCCGAAAATCAAGTTGATGATTAAACATAGGATTAATTAGGAAATAAAAATGAATAGAAAGTTGATGATTAAACATTAGATTAATTAGAAAATAATAATGAATAAGGAGTTGAAGATAAAATATAGGATTAATCCGAAAATCAAGTTGATGATTAAACATAGGATTAATTAGGAAATAAAAATGAATAGAAAGTTGATGATTAAACATTAGATTAATTAGAAAATAATAATGAATAAGGAGTTGAAGATAAAATATAGGATTAATCCGAAAATCAAGTTGATGATTAAACATAGGATTAATTAGGAAATAAAAATGAATAGAAAGTTGATGATTAAACATTAGATTAATTAGAAAATAATAATGAATAAGGAGTTGAAGATAAAATATAGGATTAATCCGAAAATCAAGTTGATGATTAAACATAGGATTAATTAGGAAATAAAAATGAATAAAAAGTTGATGATTAAGCATTAGATTAATTTGAAAATAATAATGGATAAGGAGTTGATGATTAAACATTAGATTAATTAGAAAATAATAATGAATAAGGAGTTGAAGATAAAATATAGGATTAATCCGAAAATCAAGTTGATGATTAAACATAGGATTAATTAGGAAATAAAAATGAATAGAAAGTTGATGATTAAACATTAGATTAATTAGAAAATAATAATGAATAAGGAGTTGAAGATAAAATATAGGATTAATCCGAAAATCAAGTTGATGATTAAACATAGGATTAATTAGGAAATAAAAATGAATAGAAAGTTGATGATTAAACATTAGATTAATTAGAAAATAATAATGAATAAGGAGTTGAAGATAAAATATAGGATTAATCCGAAAATCAAGTTGATGATTAAACATAGGATTAATTAGGAAATAAAAATGAATAGAAAGTTGATGATTAAACATTAGATTAATTAGAAAATAATAATGAATAAGGAGTTGAAGATAAAATATAGGATTAATCCGAAAATCAAGTTGATGATTAAACATAGGATTAATTAGGAAATAAAAATGAATAGAAAGTTGATGATTAAACATTAGATTAATTAGAAAATAATAATGAATAAGGAGTTGAAGATAAAATATAGGATTAATCCGAAAATCAAGTTGATGATTAAACATAGGATTAATTAGGAAATAAAAATGAATAGAAAGTTGATGATTAAACATTAGATTAATTAGAAAATAATAATGAATAAGGAGTTGAAGATAAAATATAGGATTAATCCGAAAATCAAGTTGATGATTAAACATAGGATTAATTAGGAAATAAAAATGAATAAAAAGTTGATGATTAAGCATTAGATTAATTTGAAAATAATAATAGATAAGGAGTTGATGATTAAGCATTAGATTAATTAGAAAATAATAATGAATAAGGAGTTGAAGATAAAATATAGGATTAATTCGAAAATAAAATTGATGATTAAACATTAGATTAATTAGAAGACTTTAATGAAAATACACTTGACAATTAAGCAAGAAATAATAATATTGAAGATTTGAATAATTTAAAACCAGAGTAAGTTGATATTATTGATTTAGCAAATTAAGAATCAAATAATAAACATTAAGAAATTCCTATTCAACTAAATAACGATCCAAATGATTAGGAATAAAATTCAATATCTGGAGTTCAATAATAACCTTAAAATAAATATAGTGCTTTAGATTAGTCAGAGAATTTAGAATAAGCTGAAAATATATAATAGGAAAATCAACCCGAGAACGAAGTTATTGAAAGTCAAAAAAACGATGACGGCTTAAATTACAAATAGATATCTGATTCTGAGGAACCAGAAATTATTTAGTAGATTTAAAATAATCAAAATAATTCAAATAATTAATCTGACTTGCTTAATACAATAAATTCATATCCAGTTATTAATGAAGAAGAAGCTATTCAAAAAATGCCGATAGACAATGAGGAATTTATTATATTTAAGTAGCCAAAAATAGATGAATCATTATCTCAATCTTAACACATTATTTTAGATGAACCAGCTGTATATGAAATGATTGAATCAAAAGTCTTAATTTAAAATTCATCACAGGAAGAAATATAAAATAAATAAGAAAATGAGCAAAATGAAGAAGTTTAATAATAAGATCAGAAAAATATTAATATTCCTGAAAATTTATAAGAAGTTTAAGAAAATATTTAAAATTAAGAAGATCAACAAGGAAATAATGAAAATTTTTAAGAAAAGGAATAAAATATTGAAGATTAATATCAAAGCAATTAACAAATCAAGGGAAATAATGAGAATTCCAATTAAGAAAACAAATCAATGTAAGAAAACGAAGAATCAGAAAACTAGTAATTCAAACAATAAGTTAACAAAAACTAAAACTAGTAGCAAATGAATGAAGAAATATTACAAGAAATTGAAGACAATTAGTTAAAATTAACTCAAAAAAATTAAAAAGAAGACTACCCATAAGTTGAAGGAGTGGAAAATTTTGATTTAGAGCTGAGAGGATAAAATACTACAGATTAAGAAAATAAACCTTAAGCTTAAGAATAGACTCAAGCTTTAAATTAGTAGAATATAAGTTCTAAGAAAAATTATTTATGGTGGCTGCTTTTAGCTCTAGTAGTTGGATACACAGTAAGAAGATTTAAAAAAAAATGAGCTAATTGATTTATAATATCAATAAATGAGCAATTATCATAATCTTGGTAACCCTAAGTCATATGCATTACCTGGTGCCATTTATCTACTAAAGCAAGCCTTAATTGCATCTCGATACATTTCTTCTTTGAGTTTTGTAAAATTTTCCTTATCCTATCCATATTTTGAAACAGACAAGGCTTTTTAGATAGCAGCTTCTATAATCTTATCCTCTGTAGCTAATCCATCAACTATTTAATTCTGTAAACCCTCAGAGCCTAAATCATATCTTCTTGCCAATAAGCATAGATCTCTATGAACATTAGGAGTAAGCTTACACTAGCACACTGCATTCATTCCAGGAGGTAGATACATACCTTAAAATATTAATATAATGATTACCAATTTCAATTTCGGGTAATGAACAATGTGCTTTTTTTGGTTCTGCTCTTGCTATTCTCCAATCATGAGCAAACATGAACATACATCCTCCAGCCACGGCATGACCATTTACTAATGCTATTGTTGGAATTGGATATCTTAATAATCTTCCTAATAATCTTATAAATTCAAGAACAAAATTATTTCTATCGAATATATTCATATTCTATCTTATAATTATATTTACTCCTGTAACATTAAGATCTAAACCTCCACTAAACACTGTTGGATGTAAGGATGTTGTAATTAATGCTGTGTGCCCTTGATGTTATTCTACAATAGTAAGAGCATCATGAATTTCTCTAACAAATTTGTGTGTGAAAGTATTGGCTTTTTAATTTAAGAGCATAAAGAAGATTTACTCATATTAAGGATGTTGTTTAATAATCACAGTCTTTTTAAGATCTTCTTCATTTAATTTTAGAAGGTCAATTAATTAAGTTTTTATCATATTATAATAAAATATATATTATTTGTTACACATCAAGATTAAATTTATTAGTCTAGTAATTAAGCTTTAAGGCAGAGGGAATTAGTTTTTTCAAGGATTTTATCTTTCAGGATTGCTTCTACATCATCATCTTCTTTATTTTTAAATAGCAATTATGTTGTTTAAATTTCAGTAGGCTTAACATACCTGTTAATTATTTCATTTATTCTATTCCAAGTCATTGAATGCTAAATTAAGTGAGGCATACATATTTAGCATTTTTACTCAAATGAATTTGCATCAGAGCAAATTTTGCATTTTTCTATATCTACCTTTAATTAAATAACAATTATACTTCAACTCTAAATTTTTTATCAAATCTAACATCCTTTTAAATCTATGATGGATCCAAATCATTCAAATCATAGGTTAATTTACTCTGATAAAATTACTTATTTACTTTGTATTTTGAAAGAATGCTGTATTGAAAGCTAATCTAAACATTTTTGAATCACTTATTGTACCATAACTTTTTACTTTAATTAATACATCTGCAGATAGTGGAATTTAGTTCCCAAAAATAATTTGATGACTTTTACCTACATATTTTTTTGATTATTTTTTGGTAGAATATAATTTTAAATCCTTAATTACATCAATAATTTCTACGTAAGGATAACATTAACCATTAATATCAATTTAAGGAGAACTATATCTTAATACGTATAGTACTTTCCATAAAAGGATATTGATTTGATTTAGATAAGATTTGGAAATATTCGTTTATCCATATTAAGTAAATCATTAAAATAATTTATGTATTTGATTTGACATGGTTAGTTTACACTTAAACCTTCTCCATAGAATCTTTTTTTTCCATAATAATTAAGAACATCAGACACATTGTTAAATCTGCCAGAATATAATAAATAACAGCAAATAACTGTCCCAGTTCTTCCCTTCCCTGCTAAACAGTGAACTACTACAATATTTTCAAAATTTGCTCATTTACTAACTGTATAAAATACATTTTAATATATTATGAATTTATAAACAAATGTCGAATAAAACATTTAACGAGGGTGAATGATGGTCTTTCCAAAAATAATCTTTAAAGATTTATCCTTTAAATTTAGATTCATCATAATTCTTGCCACTTAAATTGAAAATGAAATACTCTTCCTTATGCCTTTCATTCAAGTATTAAGCTACCTATTAATTTTAGTATATTTTACTTAATCGATAGGGTTTCGATAGATTCCTTGAATTCCTTCTCCAGGCATGCTCATGGCTATTATTCTTTTTGTTATATAAGTTAGATCCAAATTAAAATTGCCTTGTTTTAAGCGATTTTTTTTCCCTGAAACCTTTTCTCTTAAATAATCCATATAATTTAGAAATACAAAATAATTTATATAATTAAAATCAAGCACTTCAATCATTTTACATTTTTACCATCCTATAAATGCAACTCTATTTCTCGTAATTCCATGGGTACCTAGTTTTATTAATCATGATTTGAGCATTGTTGATTAATAATTTTATAGTTAGTATAATAAATGCACCATTACTATTCAAGGATATTATGTTTATTTGAAAATATTAAGATTATTGGAATATTTACTAATTATACTACACAAAGAAATATTGATATTGCCATTAAAGGTATGGAATTTGTTTAGGTTGCTATCAAAGCAATAAGAATGATATTCCATATCCAAGTCAATACTGTTATTTTATTTATAAATTTATCATAATCCTCCAATTATTCCTCAAGTTATCCTTTCCATAAAGCTACAAAATGTCGGCATAAGAATATTTTAAAATGGATAACACATTAACTTACAATTAAAATAAACACCAGATAGATAGAAATCAATATAATAGCTATCACTGTAATTGGAATATATTGAATCCAATGTGTAACCATTTAATACATACCTTTAATCATTTGATAAAAATGATTATGAATTTTATTTTAAAAGCTCCAAATTAAAAATAAGAATCCAACTAACAAAGAGCCAACAGTAATAATTAGACTATTACATGATATTATGAAAACATATAAAGTAAAGGATAAAATAAAATTTATTATTCTTTTCTTTCTCGAAGGTTTTCTAATGCTTGACTCAATTGATTACTAATCCATTATTAAAAGTATAGCAAGAAGTAATATAGATGAAAAAATACAAGCAAATTGAAATATAGTTGTTATGAATGCAATCCAAAAAGATTCACTTATGAAATTAGGATATTAGAAAGTAACTATTCTTGTATTATCAATTATTGAATGTTTGCTTACATATAATTAAATTTATTATTCTTATTAGATTTTAGCATCATATGAAATACAGAACCATGAAGGCAACTTTATTTCATCTCCATTATCGTAATATTTATACGGGAGTGGATATTCTACAATTGATGCTTCATTTTAACTTGACTAACATCCAATGCCTAATTTATTATTGCTTAGTTTGAATATCAATGTAGCGTAATCTTCGTTATAAAACTAACTTGTATTTCTCTAAGTTAAATATCCTGTATCTGCTTCAAAAGGTATCAATACATTTTCAAACATTTGTAGGTATATAATAATAAAAATGGGCCACCAAATCAGCATAAATGTTAGTAAAATAACTGTGATACAGAAATCCTGTTCACTTTCAGATTAGGTCTAATGTATATTTAATGAATAATACTTGTTTCTCATTAGCTATACTTACATAAAATAAACTAAATAATATTACTGATATTACAAATATAGGGCTCAAATATAAGGACCAGATCCAATGAGGAGAAATGTCCAAATATAAATGTACACAAACACTGTAATAAGCAATCAAAGACAGTATGCAAATTAGTAAGCTTCTGAAATGAAATTTATATTGCTTCATTTTTAATTTAAATTGCTATTTTAATAGTAAGTTTCTAAAGGAAGAAAATTACTCAAAAATGTGAAGTAGAAGTGCATTTATAATTGTTATAATAAGCTCGTTAATATATATATTACCATAATTAATTAATATATATTTATTAAAATGTATTAAATCTTCAGAGCTATGAGAATGATGAAACAGATTATCAGACCTATGAGATTTTGTGCTCCTATTGTGGCTACCAATAATTACTTAAATATATACAATTTGAATCAATTTTACATGAATTTGTTAATTGACATCAATGAAGAGGATGAGGAAATAATGTAAGTAAAACAAGAACCTAATATTCGTAGGTCAATTAAGAAAGAGAAATGTGTCGTCCAGAATTGATCATTTGAATTATAAATATATAATTTATGCAACATCTCTAACATCCTAATCCGAATCATTTATTGGGATTAAATCTAACTGTTTGCATTTCTTATTATTAAGCAAGATTTCTAACAAAGCCAATTTTACATTAGGCACTTCATTTTTTAATTACCTTAATACATTATATGTATATTCTCCCAAAAAGAAAGCATTTCCCAATCCTAAGACAAAATTAACTCTAACTAAATAATTTGCATGTTTTAGTAATTCACTTAATTAATCTATGACTCTTTTACCCTTTTCAATCAAATTATTTTCTCTAAGTTGTCTAAACAACTGAAAAAGTGTCTGCATTTTTTAATATAATTCTTACTTTACTAGCTTCCTCACGTACTGCAGAAATTCTATCTTATAATAGCCTTTTAATTAATTAAATTTCTAAGTCATCAGACTAAAAAGTCTTGAATAATTAAAATTATTATAAATTAGTTAAGAACTATTATATGTTAAATAAATACCATCTACAATGATATCAAACATTATTGTCTCATTCTCCAATTCTTGCATTGTTCTATATTAATTATAACTTGAAGTAAATTTTTAACTATCTGTTATGATTCAGCTTACTAAAAAGCATTGTCTGAAATGAATTATAAAACTATGTTAAAAGATTTTTATTTAGAAACAAATTTAAATTTAAGATCAGTGTCTCCACTCATTAATTAATTCATTAAAAATCTTAAGAAATATTAGATTTCCTCTTATTAATAATAAATTCTTCTATCTGTTGCTTGATTCAAAATTAAAATAACCGACTCTACTAAATTCTATTTTATCATAAAATTCTTTTCTTACTCTAATAAAGTCATATATTACTAAATTTATCCAAGATGCTAAGATTATTATATAATAAAATTACCCCTTTATAGATTGTTTTTGATTCTTTGATAAAAACTACTAATTTTCCACAATATATTGATAATTTTTATTTCAACTCTAATTCGGTTTTGGAAAACAATTTAATGAAATTTTCAATAAATAATTTACTGTCAGCAGTATTTTATAATACTTATAGAGATTCAATGCAAATTTCTAAAAAGCAGTTGTATGCATTAATATTATCCATTTTGAATAATTTATTCAAATATTCATGATAACCTTGAAATTTAATTAAAGAAGGAACACTATAGAATAGATTTGATTTAAAATCCTTTCCATTTGTAAAAACATTATCAGCTAATTCAATACAAAATTTCTGCTCTTCTGGATTACTTGCCCATTAAGCAAATTCTTTTATGCTTAGTACTACTCTTTTTCTCACATTTTACTCATTACTTAACATTAAATTTTTAAAATACTCCATCCATTCTTATAATACTTACTCAGAAACTAGATTATAAAGATTTGCAATTAATGTGACTGCTGCACATTATTCATCTAAATCGCCATCTTTAGCTTCAATTATTCTCTAAGTCACACATTCTTCAAATAAATGTTATTATTTCACTAATCTCTTCCCAATGTCTCTCATAATTTTGATATACATAGTTTTAGTTTCATCCTTTGTTCTATCACCAATGGTTTCAAGTAATGGTTTCAATAAAATTAAACTATTCTCAGGACCTCCGATTAAATTTATTAATTTTGGCATAGATTCTAGTAATGTAAGCATAACTTATAATTCTTCAGGAACATCCTCAACTAAAATACAACTTAATATCTTAACCAGCCTTTTCTTGATCCTTAAGTAAATTTGAAATAAATCCGCCTAATAAGCCTTTTGCTCTTGCAGGACCCAATACTAAAGCAATAGTTGAAAGGTTTTGCAAACAGTAAGTTCTTGTGCTTGAATGATCACTTTTCATCTCTTCTAATAATATGGAAATAGGAAGTAATGTTTTCATATCTGTATTTTCATCATCTAAATTAGATAAAAACTTTTTTACCCATATCTTAGAATGCATTTTATAAGAGTTAATGGATTCCTAATTCTTATGTCTATTTAGATCTGGTTGTATCAATTGAAGATAGCGATTTGCCTTTCTAAATTGATGAATTAGATGATTAGTCTGTACTCATTTTATTATAATTATGTAATTCTCAAAAATATTAAACATTATTATAGCTTTGAAACCAGAAGTATTAAATTAAAATTAAATATCATCTTAGAAATCAATTCAGAAAAGCCTGTTGTATTGAAAGTATTCACAGTTAGGAATGAAAAATTAATGTTTTCAATGACTCCAATAAAAGCAACATATGTTGAGAAAAATAATTATTTTTTAATTCAAAATTTGGCTGGATTCTCTTTGAACTAGTTCCTGAGATTCGTTAAAGAGAAGGAAATCATCATCTAGAGTGGGACAAAAAGAAACAATTTAGGGGTTAATAGATTGGATAAATTTTAATCAACAAAAATAAAGCATATGATGAAACTTCGAGCTTTTTTTATCAGTACTCCTAAATTTATATCAAATAAGCATATTCAACATAAGTAAATGAAAAGAGAGTTTTAAAAATTGCACAAGAGATACATCTATCAATAACATAAGATGAAGAATAAGATAAATAAGTCAACCCTTATAGGATAATTCTGAATTAAGAAGAATACATTACAGCATTAGAATTAATTAATTTAATTAACTTTAATGATTATTTTAGTTTTCATTGCCTTTTTTATTAGGTTGGGATGCTTTATATACACCCTTATCTTCTGATATTGATGTTTAAGATTTAATTTTTTATATAAATATTAAAATTTCAAATGTTTTATTCCAAGATTACTGTTCTTATATAATTATTAATCGTTCTAATTTTGGCTATTTCATCTATTGGAATGAAAGTTAATAAGCATTTTGTGGACCAAATCTAGAGAATAAATTTGAAAATACCTCTCTATTTAATTTTCTTAAGAAAGGATTCCAGCAAAACAGTTATGCCATGATCAAAGTTAGCATGAAGAAAATCATTAATATTAATTGCTAAACTATGTAATTTTCTTAATCAGCTGTAACGATATTCAAATATTAATTATTTAAAAGGGAATATGCATTTTTAAGGACATAAAATTACATATCATCTAATGAATAACAACAATATTTACTTATTTCATAGCTTTCTGGAGTATTGAGTAAATTTAGAAGTTTATTTTTCTTTGTATTATCAGAAAGTTACAAGAATGTATAGTCAGACCAAGGAAACTCTAAAGTGTCATTAAAATTTAAATTCTAATAAGTATTGTATAATTTTCTGATGTTTTGAAAATGCCTCGAAACTGCTGTCATTAATCCATGATCTAAGATTCCATTAGCAAACGTTTCACATTGAATTTCTTCAAAAATGATAATTGTGCAAAGATTATCAAACATAATCTAATTGTAATAATCAATGTATGAAATATCATTATATTCTACGTTTATCGCATGTAATTTTTGATATAGAGTATCAATTTCATAAACATTGTTTATCAACTAAACCATAGTGGTGTTACTATCCTGATTCATTAAATTGAATTTATCATTGTGTATATACTATTTAAGTGAATTGACAAGAATGGAATAATAGCTGGAACTTAATGAAGTTTAATTAAATTCATTTAAAATATTGATTTTTTGATCTACGTTATTTTAATCTAAAAAGTAAATCATAATAAAGTATGACTCTATAATTGATGCTAAAAATATCATTTTGATAAAGAATCCCATATGCTTATTTTCATTATTCTTAAACCTTTTTCTTTTTCTACCAAGAAGTGAGACAGGTTCATCAACATTTCCTTTATCTTCAATAATATCAATTTCACTCAAAACTTCATCATCCTCATTAGAGGATATTTAAGATAAAAAGTTTTCGCATTTGGAGTAGAATAATTTAGCCGTTTATTCTGGAATATCGAGAAAGATGCTCAATATTTCTTACCTTTTATCCAAAGTACTAGTCAATATGCAAGTAAGAATAATTGAGGATATGAAAGTTAAACAAGCTGATAAAATTAGGATGATTAAAATATCACTATATAATTTATTCGTTTAATTATAGGATAAATTGATTGTATTCATATACATATCAAGTAATGCACGGATAAAATCATTTAAGGAATTATAAATTACATAATAATAATCGATTTAATTCTCGTCTAATTAGGATTAAATTTATTGAATGTTAAGAGATTTACTAACAATTTATTAACTTGCCTATTCTATTGTGCTAATTTCTTATCCTGATTAAGTCTTCATCATTACATCAGAATTGAATGAAATCTTCATAAAAACTTCCTTACTAAGTTAATCAAACTATTAAATACTGTTATTCAAATTAAATAATAGTTTATCCTATTTATAATAAGAAAATCCAATGTTTGTAAACATTAATTCTCTTGAATACAGTATGATTTCATTTAAATATGTAATCATATCAGATTACTTAATAATCATGTTCCAACCTGTGTTTTAATTGTTGATTTCTTCTCTCTCGAATATATTATTTAAAATACACAATATAATTAGTAATATTGTTAGAAGAAATGATATATAATATAGCCATCTGATTGTTTTACTTTCACTTTATGCATTTAAAGTTTCTTATAACTCTTTAGATGATCTAAAATATCCAGATTCATTTGGCTCATCATTTTATTGATTCTATTATTCCTCTTTCTTTATTTGAATTTCTTCATAACTCTCCATATCAGCATCTGATTGAAACTTATCAATATCATAGATCACACCCTCAAATAATCTCATTACTCTAATTCCTTAAGAATAATCAATAACATCTTCATTTTTCTCAATTTCTTTGCTTTTTAAATCATACTCTTGATTAGTTAACATACTCTAATCTTATATATGAGTAATCATTTCACTGTAATTAGCATCAGTATATTCTCCATAAAAATGCATACCAGTTTATTGAAATTGTAATCTAAAAGAAAAGTTTTAGTTCTTGAATACTTTCTGTTAAAATTATTTCAAATTCGAACTTGACAAGTCTATTAATCTTTCAACTCGCACCTAGAATCCAGCTAAACCTTATTCATTTTCTGAACTCTTCATCATAAGAAAATTTATATCCAAAATCGATACACTCAATTTAATAGTCATATCAGAAGCCCCAAATGCTATATGATCATCTAAAATTTTTGGAAATATATAATCTATCGATTTTCCTTATTTCATTTTAAAATCATCATAAGATTCTTTTATTTCTGGAAATAAATCAAAAAGATGAACTTCTTATATCTATAATGCTTTTACATCAAAACCCAGTAAATTTATACATCCTCCTGAAATATCTTCAACTACATATTCTTTATTGCAAACCAAATAGGCAACATCTTTTATCCTCTTTTCTTTTTTAAAAGTTCCTACAAATTCAACTCCTTCTTTTAATACATGATAAACTGGACGTAATAATACATTAATCCCTAATAAATATCCATTCTTATGCTTTCCTAATAACAATCTTTCTTTATTTAATAATGTTGCTTCGTTGGTATCTAGAAATCTTCTTAAAAAATCATCATGATTACTTGCATACAATGATGGCATAATATTATTCACTTTCTTATTCATAAGTTCATTTTTATCAAATCCCAATAACGAGGCTGCAGCCATATTGACCGCATATATCTATCCAAATTTCTCTTCCTCTAATGAAATAAATATACAGCCATCCTCTTATCCATCAACATTTAAATTTGATGTCATACCTAATTTAAAAGCTTTTCTTTAAGCAAATGAATTTTCTAACTTTCTAGCCTATTCTAGCAAATCAAAACCTGATATTCTATCATTGAAAATTTCAATTAAATATTTAGAATATAATCTTAAAGCTTAAGGTAATTATTGATTTTATATTCGTTAAAGTCTCTTCCAAGTCGTATCAACATACATTCTAATTGGAAATAATTTTGAACCTATTTCATATAACTTCACCAAATCTGGTTTCTCATCAGCAAATTGAGACCAAAACTCCATCAATAAACTTACACTTCTTTCCATTGCTTATTTAAAAGATCCAAACTTCTCATCAAAATCTCTTTGTTCTGTAAAATCCTAACCATCCCCACTTAACTCAGATATCTCAGCTTCAATTACACTCTTTATATAAAACACAATGTATTTTTCATCAAAAGAAGACTTTAATTTCTCTATATTACTTAACTCTTCCAAAGCTTGGGGCTTAGATTTTAAAATTCTTAAAGTAAATAATGCATATTCTATTCGAATAAAAACATCAGTTGGAAATTTTCCAATCCCCATAATAAACAATCTTGCCATTGTATCATATATTAATTAATGTCTTTTGTCTGTTTTGCTAACCAATTCATTTTTTGCTTTGAACATATTTAATGAAAATTTAACTTTTTTTAATGGACATAACGGATTTGGACAAGTCTAATTGTGAAATTCTATGTATCCATTTAATAATTAACCTTAAGGTAACCTCTTTTTATCATATTCAACTAATTTTATAACTTCATGTACATGATTTACCAATTATACAGGATCATCAAATTTATTTACATATATCATCAAACACTATTCCCTTTTCTGTTATTGTAATAATTATATCATAAATACAAAAGGTAAACAAAATAACCAAGTATAAAGGGATCCAACCATAATTCTCTTTTCAACCAAATTAGAAATGCATAACATAAGGCTTGTCCACATTTCCAAAGTTAGAAAAGTTAAAAATAACTTTTACATTACTCTATTATTATAAGCATCATTTTTCTTGGCATACAAAAAACAAATCACTGACCCAATCAATTAATAGACCTCAAAGAACACCTATGAATTCTCATTGTGTGGTAGCATAGATAACAAAACTACAATTCCAAAATGAATCTAATTTAAGGCTGAACATCTTCCATTTCTTTTTGACAAAGCGTTTTCTTAATCAAAAGTTCCATCAAATAGTACAAGATTAACCGATGAGCACATTAAAAATAAGATTATTAACCCAATAATTGAAATTATTTAATCTATGACTAATAAACCTTACCAACATTTTTAATTTTAAAAGTCATCCATGTATCCATTTGTACAACTGATTGGAAACTAAATTATTTCAATAAAATAATTACTGTGAATAAGAATAATATTGGTATATAAAGTATGGTACTGAATACAAATGTCATGTATTTTAATATGTTAATTTATAATTGAACTGGATCTTTCTGATTTACTATAAATATTATTGATATTAAAAATAAGAACACCCAAAAACTTATCAATGCAATTGAAACATAAATTACAACTTGAACTGCACTATAATCCTAATTCAACAAATAATGAGTAAAATTAAAATATCCAAATATTTAAGTCAATATTTCTGCATTATTGTCCTACCATACTGATACAATCTTTATACAATAATTCTTATACCATATGATGGAATTTGAAATAATTTATTTGCATCAAAGTAATTAGCATTGCTATACAATGCACTATTATCGATTAATTTTAATCCCGAACCATCAAATATATTAATCGATATACTGAGTTTTAAGTGTTGGATTCTAATGATTTATCTGTCAGATTTTTTCCATCCTCTGACATTATTAAAAATATAAATATATTATCTAATTGTTATAAAAATAAACAAAAATTTCATTAGAATGATATCGATCTTTCTGGTATTAAATTTTATGAAATTGTCTGATCAGGCAATGTTTTTAATATCCTCTCTCTTATTTTTTTCAACGGTACTTTTGGATAAACGTACTTATCTTAAAATAATAGTTTATTTTAAGGTCTATAATATTTCTCAATATTTTAAAGTAATTCGATCATTGAAATATCTAATTTTTTAGTATGCATCAATATTTATAAAAAATTACTTAATTGACTATGATTATTTTTTGTAAATTCTCTTAAATATTCATAAACTGGTATCTCGATTACTTCAGGCTATTGAAGATGAATTAATTTAATTTCTTTAATTAATTCGCATTAGTGTTCTATTTCTTCTTGTTGTAGTTTTAAAGTAATTTTCNTAGCATAGATAACAAAACTACAATTCCAAAATGAATCTAATTTAAGGCTGAACATCTTCCATTTCTTTTTGACAAAGCGTTTTCTTAATCAAAAGTTCCATCAAATAGTACAAGATTAACCGATGAGCACATTAAAAATAAGATTATTAACCCAATAATTGAAATTATTTAATCTATGACTAATAAACCTTACCAACATTTTTAATTTTAAAAGTCATCCATGTATCCATTTGTACAACTGATTGGAAACTAAATTATTTCAATAAAATAATTACTGTGAATAAGAATAATATTGGTATATAAAGTATGGTACTGAATACAAATGTCATGTATTTTAATATGTTAATTTATAATTGAACTGGATCTTTCTGATTTACTATAAATATTATTGATATTAAAAATAAGAACACCCAAAAACTTATCAATGCAATTGAAACATAAATTACAACTTGAACTGCACTATAATCCTAATTCAACAAATAATGAGTAAAATTAAAATATCCAAATATTTAAGTCAATATTTCTGCATTATTGTCCTACCATACTGATACAATCTTTATACAATAATTCTTATACCATATGATGGAATTTGAAATAATTTATTTGCATCAAAGTAATTAGCATTGCTATACAATGCACTATTATCGATTAATTTTAATCCCGAACCATCAAATATATTAATCGATATACTGAGTTTTAAGTGTTGGATTCTAATGATTTATCTGTCAGATTTTTTCCATCCTCTGACATTATTAAAAATATAAATATATTATCTAATTGTTATAAAAATAAACAAAAATTTCATTAGAATGATATCGATCTTTCTGGTATTAAATTTTATGAAATTGTCTGATCAGGCAATGTTTTTAATATCCTCTCTCTTATTTTTTTCAACGGTACTTTTGGATAAACGTACTTATCTTAAAATAATAGTTTATTTTAAGGTCTATAATATTTCTCAATATTTTAAAGTAATTCGATCATTGAAATATCTAATTTTTTAGTATGCATCAATATTTATAAAAAATTACTTAATTGACTATGATTATTTTTTGTAAATTCTCTTAAATATTCATAAACTGGTATCTCGATTACTTCAGGCTATTGAAGATGAATTAATTTAATTTCTTTAATTAATTCGCATTAGTGTTCTATTTCTTCTTGTTGTAGTTTTAAAGTAATTTTCATATTTTGATATTTTTTTATTAGTTGCATGTACTTGTAACAAACCTGATCATATTGGATTTATAGTTATTTCACATGATGTTACAATTCTTTGTATTCTTGAGCACTTTAAATCATCTTATAAAATACATGGCTGAATTAGGTTTTTCAATAATTATAGTATTACTAATTGGTGCTATATTCATTGCTCTGTATATCTTTTTATCTAAATATTAGAAACAACTTTAAATGTTGTCGTGTAACTACTTTATATCAAAATCCCTTAATTCGCTCATTTTTTCTGCTAATTAGATTATTATATTAGTTAGAATTATTTTTATCAAAATAACATAAGAATAAATAAATAAATTAAGTTCTTTCCAATCAATATATATATGTTATTAAGCAACTTTTGTTTTTTCTTCAGAATGTTAATCATCTAATTGCTTTTTGGTTTTTTATGGAGTGGAATTTGAATTTTAGGATTCTGATTTCTTCTCTATTTTAAAATCTGATTATTTCACTATAAATTATTATTATTTCTCTTCTGTTAAATTTTTGATTGAGTTTTCTGCTCTAATTAAAATTATCTTGAATATGTTGTTTTAACTTATTTCTAGTTTCTGTTCCTTTAAGGGTCGCTTTTACTTTATCATATTATATTGTTGTCAATTACTCTTTAATTAAGAATTTCTAATATAATTTAATTTAGATTTTTTTTTATCTTACCATGAAATAACAAATTATAAAAAGCTTTCTGTTATTCTTAACTGCTTCATCAGATAAATCTAAATCAAAAGGCTCCTAAATTTAGTATTGAATTTTGTTTACTCATTTTCTCTTTAAATTTTATTATTGATGTATTATCCTATATTTTATGTCTTTAAATTAATTTTGACTAGATTGAATAAAAAATATTGAATTTCTCATTCTACTGTGGTCAAAACCAATTTACTGTTAAATTGTTTTGTCATGTTCTATAAATTTCTTTACAGCTTTTATGAAATTTTGGCTAATTAAATTAATTAAAAGAAATGGCTAGACATTATTTTTATCTTTATTTTAAAGTTAATTAAATTACTCAATATCTTAATCAATTCTCTAAATTTATCAACCTTTTTCTTTATTACGTTATTCAGAAAATATTTTTTTTTAATTAGAAATACTTGGTTATAATTCGTAATCATTCATCAAATACATAAATCTAAATGAGTTCTAGTTCTTATTTTTAATCTTTATTTAGGTTCTTAGGATAAATTTCAAAATACTAATTTTGTGCTTTTTTTATATCTAATTTTTTTAATCTATAATAAGAGTTCCGCTTAATAGCAAATGAGTCAAAAAGATTGTAATCGTCATCATTAAAAAAAAATTAATAATTAAAATTTTAATAACTCAAATTCTCTTTTCGTGTTTAAACCTTAATCATAATATTAAAATACTCAATAATGAAATTAGCAACTATTTTAAGAAGATTAGACATATTTGGTGTTCCAATAACTTTAATTGGATTTAATCGTCTAAAATATCAAACTAAATTAGGAGGATTAGTAAGTTTAGCATTAGTTGGTTGGCTCACTTACAATATTATTTTGTAATTTGTTTCTTTAATATCTAAAAACAAATTGCTTGTAACTACAAATACAATATTTAGTGATAATCCATCATTAATTGAGTTAAATTCATAAAATTTCATGTTTGCTCTTTAAATCAGATAATCTAATTATATCGATGTATTCTTATTAATCTTAATTTAAGAAACCTTATTTTACCTTTAAACTGGAACATTTATCAGTGACAGATGGAGTAAACAAAACATCTAAAATAATACCTTTTACAAAATGCACAATTAAAGATTTTGAAAATCTATATTTTTATAATAAAGACATGTTTGAATAGTTATTATTCAACAATTTCTCAGATTGGGTTTGTCCTTAATTTGGTAATACAACTTATGCCTTATAAGGAAAATTTGGTGCTAAATTATTTCAATATTTGAAAATTTCTGCTTTTCCTTGTAAACCTGGACAATATGATTATAATTATTCATGCCCTAGTACTGAAGAAACAATTGAATTCATGAACAAAATAGATGGTGAACTTAACATAAATCTAATGATAACTAATGTTAATGTCAATACTGCATAGACTAATAGTTATACTGGATTCTTAGATAGAGATTATTACATGCTTTTAAATCCATTAAAATAATTTGGATCTGTTGATATGTTCCTTAGAAATTGGGATGTTTACACAAATCCATCTATAATTGATGATGGAACTGATTATGAATTTTAAAACTATGTTGTTTTGGAGAAACAAGAGACCTCAGAAAAATAAACTTATCATGAATATGATATCACTACAGATTAAGAAATAGCTAAATTATTCTTTAGAACTAGTTAGTATTCTTTATACACAAAAAGAAATTATGTAAGCATAGGAGACTTCTTAGCTTATGTAGGTGGAATATTTGGATCCTTATATACAATAGGCTCATTATTTATGTCCATCTATGCTTATGAGTAATTGTGGTTAAAGTTGTTTAAGGTTCATTATAATTTAATTGCTTACGATCAAAATTGTAGATCTCTCAATGAAATTATTAAAAATAAATTTTCTCAAGAAAATATTTTAATACCTAATATGAAATCTTTCTTATTATTCTTTACTAAATAAGGCATAAAGAACATTAAAACATATATTCAATCATAGACTATTATCATGGAAGATTTAAGCGTTGTTAACTATTTAAAAACAGTTAAAGATTTATAAAAAATAAAAAAAATACTTTTTAATGAAAAACAAACCTAAATTTTGGATCTCTATAATAAAGAAACCATTGCCATAACAAAGTACTAGGCTTAACATTCTCATAAATTGGAAAAAGGAAAAAAATTTTTATATGGGTAACATTTTTAAGATCATACACTTTAGACACTTAGGAAAATCATAGATCAATATTAGAATCTACTCTATGATAAAGATAAATTTCAACTGAAAATTACTTAAAGGTTAATCAATATTTTTGATACTGATTTTTAAGATGTTATTAATAATTGGGAAAATGGCTATTATCAGTTGAAAACTCTTAATACAACAAATTATGATAATGTTTAAACTAATAGAGCAACTCAATTATCACAATAATTTGCTATTTCAAAAGATATTACCAAAATAATTAGTTTCAGAAATTAATTTACACTTACTAATACTGAAGTAGAAAGTTTGTTAAAAACATTATTATTTAAAAAACAAACGTTATATCTTGATGAGAATTTTAATATTTAATATGAAGTATTAATTAATCATGAATAAGAAAAAATAAATTACATTCTAACCATACATAATAAATTTCAATAATATTAACTAGATATTAAATAAAATGATATATTAATTCAACATTAATTTACAGCCCGAAAACATAAAATAGAATGCAATCTAATGAAAAATTAAACAATTTCTCTTTTAGATTTAATAAATTGTTCTTTAGAAATTAATATTAACTCTAATTATAATATATTTTTAAACTGCTCTCTTAATGCTAATATCAATTATCAATTAAAAATTATTAACATACCAAAAGAGTTCAGAACTCATTATTATATTTATTTAGATGATTACAATAAAGATAAATTTTAATTACTTCTAGCACTTTTAAATCATCAGAAATTTCTGATATCAAATTTTGAGAATTTTGAATTTATGTTTTAATTTGATTAAAATGGACAAAGTGCATAATATATTGAAATGTTTATGAATTGGCCTAATAATGAATTAATTTTGAATGAACAAATTATTTCCAATAAGCCATACGTCCAATTTTTATAAGTGCTTTATGATATTATCATACTTTATTTGTAAAATAGATGAGATATAAATAATATTTTAATATAAATTTTATTATTTGAACAAATCTAAATCATAAATATATCAATTTTAATATATAAGAATTTCAATTAACTAAAATCTTTCCCATTTGTTTCCAATCTAATTTTATTTTATTTTTAAAAAAGGACAAAACAATAAACTATAGCGATAATTTTATGTCTTTTCATAAAAATAATTCATTACCCACTAAAATAAATTATTTTATTTGATTCTTTTTTTTCCAAGATTATGAAAGGTAATTTAATTAAATATGAAAAGTAATGATAAAAAGAAAAGAATCTGATGAATCATCAAAATTATAAAATTAGTTTATTTTTCACCCTTTAAAATTTATTTTTACTTACTCTGCTTGATCCATATTTCTCTATCTTCTTGCCTCATCATCCATTTATATTTTTGTCATCTAATATTAGATGACCCATTTATCATACCGATATTTATCAATGTCTATAAAATAATTTACCTGCACATAATAGGGCATCTGATTCAAAATCACTTTATTTTGCTTCAAATCTCATATTTTTCAAATATTCAGATTAAAAAAATAGCTTAAGTTTCGAAATAATTCCATTGTTTGTAAAAATTTAATCAAAGTTTAAATAGTGTTTTTTCATTCTAAAAATATCTTATACCCCAAAAATAAAGACTGAAAGTTTTTTATTTATTATATGATAAACTTTTCTCCTTTTATAAAGAGTCCTTCAGTGAAAAGGTTGGACGCTTAGTTAGAAGATACAATGTAAAATAATTAGTAAACTATTTTCATTTATATCTACGATATATATAATTATTTATTGTATATTTATCAGATATCTTTTTACGATTTATTTTTTTTTTATTTACAATTTCAAAGACTAAAGTACTTTTATGCTGTTATAAATTATTTTATTTAATTAATACACAAAGTTACTCAACTTAACTGTGATTTAAGATCAATATAGATCTAATTTAATCTTTATTTGATACATTCATAACACAGATAAAAATGAATGAAAAGTTATACATTTTCTCAAAATAATTATAAAATAATAATGATATTTATAAAGAATATATAAGATTATGAAAGGGAAGTCTAAAGATTAATTATCAACAAATATCTAAGTGTATTTCTATGATAGAGAATAAATAGCTAAAAATGAAGCAGTAAAATCAAACTGTACAAAAAGAGCTGTAATAATATGCAAAAAATAATGATTTTGAAAAATGAATACATTGTAAGAAGAATGCGCACAAGTAAATTATTTTATATTAAAAGAGAGATTTAGAATAATTAATTTAGAATGCTGAATAACAGTTGCAAGATCATAGAAAAAAAATGAGTAATTCTGATAGAATTTAATTACTAAGTTAGTGTTATATAATTTAAAACCATGATAATATTTATTTCAATTTAAGTTGTAATTAGTTTTTAAACAAATTTCTAAAACATAGTGTAATTGTAATA